ATCTGGGGAGCGATCTAAACCCACTAAATTGAATCTGTGAGTCCACCACCAGTCAGCTCCAGCAAAACCATACCCCTACTCCTGACTTCAGTCCTCTTGTCTCAAACAAGAGAAATGGGTAAGGAACTGCTGCTCTCATATCTCACCAGTACAGACATCTTCTCTTAGAAGTTGCACAATGCCACTTCAAAATATAGACCAATCTTTACAAAAAGAAATAAAGCTTTTTTTTTTTTTTAAACTATATTACCTAAAAACTTAGGAAATGTACACAACTGATGTTTTGAGTAAACTATGGTAACAAACAAGCCCCGTTACATTTGAAAATAAAGCTGCATGAGACAGAAGAACTGCTCTGTAAACAAGGGCAAGGGATGGGGTGAGAAAATCACTGAAAAATATTAAGTCCCCTGAGCACCATGGGATGTGCAATTTTCATTGTGCTCTGAGACGTACTTGTGTGGCCTTGTTGCTTCTATTGATCACCGTAGGTCTTTCCTAATAGAGTTACAAGACATTTTCAGTTGCAGGCTTAGAAACCTGTGGGAAATGGGATCCAATCATCTGGCTGCTATGTTTCTGTAAGGCCAGCTCTGTCTTGTTGCTACTGCTCTGTTGGGCTTTAAACACAATACCAGCATCTACAGCTGAGAAGCAGGGAACAGAGATTGTGCCGGCACAGGTTATAAAATTCTGTGAAACAAGAACCAAACCTTCCTGGTCATTTACAAAGTTCAGTTAATTTTCTTATTATTTTTTTCTTTGTTATGGAACTAGACTTCTGATTTCCAATAGGGTTATGAGTGCAAGGAGACAGTGGGAAGCATTAAGAGGTATTTTGTGCTCTTTTACCACACCAATAGGCACAGTAATGAATGAACAGAGAGCATTTTTTAATGTTATGCTGAGGCAGAAGGTATTGAAAATACTCTCAGAAATCTCAGTGAAAATAAATGTTGCTTTAAGCAAGAAAGCCAAGGTACAGGGAGTCTCAGTAAGAATCATTTTGTGTTCTTACTTGCATCAAAATAAACAAAAGACATTTGTGTTTGGCTTATCAGAGCTGCACTAAAAGATGATTTAAAAAGAAGGGGAAACTTGTACATTTTAAAAATTTCTACTGAAAACTTTACATAAATAAGTTACCTATGACAACCTATGACTTGCAAACTGAAGACTGAAATAAAATGCAAACCACCAATATTAGTAATGGTGATCTATGTTGTTTAAAATGCCTATTTATTTTTCAAGAAAAAAAAAAAAAGGTCTAGGTAAAATTCAAGGTAAAGCCCCATCCAGCAAGCTATAGAAAAATTTCAGCTTATGCTGACATAACATGAAGTTTATGGAGCAAAACACCTTGCAGAATCAGGCCCATCACTGCTCTCCCAAGCCTTTTAAAAGAAGGACTTAGGGGACCTAGCTCAGGACTCCAACAAGAGCGCAGTGTAATTGGGTTGTGAATGTGGGAGAAGGTAAAGCAACTCTGTTACGTGCACAATTATGTTTATGGACTCACTGAAATTTAAAAAAAAAATAAAAATGCTTCATGGCAGGATTTCTCTACTCAACAAGAACATGTCACTGGCCTCAAGGACAAAATACATGTTCACTACTGGAAAGTCGTGAAGTGAATTTGTTGCCCCCAATGTTCCTGTTCTGTCCCCTCCTGCAATGTACGCCTTCCATCACATCAGTGTGACAGCAGCACCCTGAAACAGCTACAACACTTCTGTGTTTGATTTCATAGTTAAGATTTCCTTACCATTACAGTGTAGACATAAATATTGTATCATGGTCTGGAGGTCCTTTCCAGGAAACAACACAATGCATACAAATTTATATGCCTATAAGCTGAAAAGTGTACTTGATTACATCATGTAACTAAATGATTACTCAAAGTTCACTGAGATGCTAGGAAACAGAGTTACTGTGATATGCATTCCACTCTGCAAGACGTTATCTAAAGAGAATGTACAAGTAAGAGAGTAAAGGGGGGGAAAAAAGCATCACTCCAAACTGAAAGAGAATGAAACACAGCACAAAAGTACATACAAACATTTAACAGCCCAAAGAGGATGATATGGTCCATGAAGACCTGCCCTCATAACCCCAGGAAATACAAATCAATCTGTGTTTCATCATCTGAAACTTGAACTTCTAGCTAGTAGCTCTACGCTCTTCCCCCTGCCTGCTTCAAAAACTCCTCCTTGAACTGATTTACACTATTTGCTTCTACTGCTGACTTCGGCAGTTTGTTCCAGACCATATTTCAACTACCCTTTGTGTAAAACTGTTCTGTCTGAATATATCGGAGTCCCTAAATTCTGGTACACATATTGGAGTGGTTACAGAAGTAATTTTAGTGTGGCTGGCAGCTGGCCTAACTTGTGCTCTGATCTCTCCTCCCCTCCCTCAACCGAACAGTTAATACTTTGCCATCAAAGTCAGGGCTGCTACAAAGAGAGCCTGCTCCAGCCAAGTGCCCAGAGGGACACCTCTTGAACTTGTCATGTACTGGCAGGACACTGTGGCCAGAGTAGCCTTCCCAACCTTAGAAGAGGACCAAAGTAGTGAAGAGCAAAGAGTAAGTAAATAAAGAGCAGCAAGACTCTACACATTAAAAAATTTGATGCTATTCACAGACCCTTTATCTGTTTTCCACAAATATTTTCATAGATAACTGTTAGGGGTTTTTTTAAAAAAAAGATATCTTTAAGAACTAAACTTCTCCCCTAAGGTTTTACATGGTCATCTTGAAAATTTGACAGAGTCATCTAGGGAGCAATCAGGAGCAATGGAGTGTCATTCCACATTCAGAATGAATAATGAACATCGGGAGCTATATTTATAGCAAATATTTGGCAAACTGTCCACAAGTTTAAAATACATTTATATAAATAATCTGTAAAATAGTTGAATTTAGAGATTTGCAAAAACTGGAATTTATTAATGTTTTCCATTGCAAATGAGAAAGGGGACTAATTTTGTTGAAATCTCAACTGCAGCTGTAGATTGGCAAAATTAAGTGGCTGGAAAGAAATGGGAGACTGAATAGCAGCCTCCAGATCTTGACTAAATTGTCGGTTGATCTTAAAAGATAAATACAGGATTGTTAATTTTGACTTCTGAGGACCCACATTTTCTAAAAGATAATATTTGCAAGTGTCTTTTTAAATCCGCTTTTGTGCATGAACTAAGGTTAGGAAAGAGGCAGACAATCTATCAAGTGTGCAGTAACTTTTAAATAAAGGTGACATATTTTTCCCAGTCAGAACAACTTTCATCAGGAATATTTTTGGAAATTTAGAAAATCTCTTTGATGTCAGCAAAACTGTTTCTCACATTCTTTTGAAGCAGACAAAAGGTCAATGTTAATTGCAATATGTTGTAAATCATATAGATTACTTTCAAGAAAATATTTAAGGGAGATATCTTATATGTGACATTCATTCTTCAGCCAGCCAGACATGGATGATGCTTAATTTCTAAAGAATTAAAAGGATGGAATTCTCTTGCAAAATACAGAATCTAATGAAATTCTTCTGTTTTGTTACCAATTCACAGATATCATCTTTTCTTATTTATGGAGAGAAGTGTATTAATCATCACATGCAGAGTTGCAAATTCAGCAGAAACATAAATTATCATCCTTAAACTCAAATTCTTTCAAAGGATCCGTAAAGCTAAAAGTTTTGAATAGCTTGGATAGAACAAATGGACAAGAAAAGATAATGCATCTTTTGAAACACAAACCTGCAAAGATGTTATGCTCAATTACTCTGACAAAAGATTTGGAAACCAACAGTATCCCCTGTGGAATACCACTGCTAAACTAGAATGCTAAATCAAAAGTTCAAAGTTAAGCAAGAATAATATAGCATAAGCCACATTAAATGCATGTCATCCTTAAAGCTAGAACCCACTTGGATATTTATTAAATAACTATTTCTATTTTCACATAGGGGGAAAAAAAAAAAACAAAAACAAAAACAAACCAAAAAACCCAAAAAAAAAAGAGCTCAGACCAAGTGTGAATATAATAAAAGTACCACTCTCAATAACACATGGAAGAATGGTGGTACTGGGCAGGCAGCATCCCCAACTGCAAGTCTTCTGATGACCAGCCAGAGAGCTAACAGGCTGTTTTACACTCTAAGCAAAGCTTCAGAAAGCAGTTTTTCAATCTTATCTTTACAGACAACAACAAACTCTACTGGAGTAGAGGCAGGGAGGGAGCTGGAGAAGTATAGCTATGGCTGTCCTACCAGTGGCCAACAGAAGGCTACTGTGTACAAAAGAAGACTTCTAGCAAGCTACTGGAAGAAGGTGCTGCAGGAACCTCAACAATGCTGTGTTGCAATGGTATTTTCCAGCCTGATGGAGGAAATTAGGCTCGTTTTATTTTCAAGTAATGCCTTCAGCCAAGCTGCAAGCATAAGGAGCAGGGTTCACATGCAAGCAAAAGCTTCCGTCTGCAGGAAGAAACAGGGCTGCGTCCAGCCACCTACTGCAAGACCAGGGCAGGGGATCTGTTGGGGAGAGACAGTTTCCAGACAGCTGACCTTATCAGCAGTGCTCTTCATTGCTTCACTGTAGACGTTTTGGAAGCCACTGCATTTGGGACACATCTACCCTGACGCTGATGTTGAGTAACGAGGAATGGAATGAGGGCTGTTTCTGAGGGACGGAAACGACGTTGCCAAAAAAGCACTAAGAATACGAGTCCAATTTAGGCCAGTCATTTCTTATTATCTTCATTGAGATGGCAAGCCCATAATTTTGGCTGTACGGAAAAAGGGATCATCTTTCTGAGTTACAGGCCCAACATACAGATCTGCTGCACGTGCAGTGAAGGCAGGCTGAGGTCTGGAAGGGCCTTGGAACATAGTAGCTGGATATCAGAAATCTTGAATTCCTGTTCTAGGACATAACTGACAGGGTTGTACACAAGTAAAAAAACTAGAAAAATTTAGGTAAATAGTAGCATTGTTTTAATTTACCTCTTCTAGATGTTTCCCCTGAATATCTGAGATCTGTGCCCTAGATAACGGAGGTGCCACGGGATCAGCTTTGATTCACTTCTTGTTCTCCAGACAGATATGCCAGTCAGGGAAACATTATTCATCTGAAAAAGGATGAATTTGTTGATTGATGTTAAAAGCTGATAGGGAAGTTGAAAGGACAACAAACAAGGAGAAATACAGAGCGCACAACTGTGGTTTTGAAGTTAATGGGTTTTTCCCATCAGGTAATGCTGTATATGAAATAATAATGGTGCTAACTAAAACATTAGTTACTACTTGATGATGACACTCTACATCTTTCTGTAAACCTCTTATTGACAGTAGCAGAATCTCCCGTGAATAAGGGAGAATAATGTCCTACATTGATATCTGGCATATGTAATGTGTTTATATAATCCAGTCCTCTCCACAGAATTAATTTGATCTGTCTGGTTTGGAGCATGTACTACTGGTTATGCATGCTCCCTGTGTGCTTTTATTTCTTGAAGGTGCAGCTTGTTCCATTTTTTGGCATCTTGGCTGCCTATTGAATGGGGGTAAGAGCAAAGACTTAATAATGGCAGTCTTCTGACAGTCACTGTTGCCAAACTAGGGCTGTGTTCACACGGTATGCAAACAACAGACACTCATCTTTCAATTTATGAACACCAAACTTCAAATTGACAGGTAGCTGTTAGAGAACTTTCACTTCTAAATTACTAAGAGAAAGAAAAAGAAAAAAAAAAAAGCTAAGAAATTAGAGACGGTTGCTGAATTACTCCAGTGAACACTATTGATTGACAAATTCAGTCCCAAAAATCAGAATTAAAATTAACTGCACTTACTGCATCAATCAGTCACATTGCAGAGTTTGAAAGTACAGCATTGAAAGATGAACAATTGCTATGAAAGATAAAGGCAAAATGTAATTATAGTATAAAAATATTTTCAAGTTATATTTTATACAGGAGTAACACATCTTTGCAAGTTTGAAAACTGCAGCACCCAGAGGGAGTGAGTAATTATTTACCTTACAACTTTTTCAAAAAGTTCTAATGCAAGGGACATAGCTATCAATCAAAATCAAATTAAAAGGGTTTATGGCAAATGACTCAAAGCAATACAATTTTATTTTTCTGAAGAGATTTATTTACATAGTGAGATTAAAAATGTCTCAGATTTATGCAACCACTCCAGGAGCATGAATTTCCTAGTTTTTAAACCTCTAATGCAATAACCTTTACCCTGGTTTGAGACAAGCCTATGTCAGCATTTATAAAACAAAGTCTTTCTAGCTCTTTGGTCCAGTAAAATAAACCACTTCTTCCTCCTGTGTTAAATGGTAACTTTTATTACTTTAAAGTTTCTTTTCCTTTAATCCAACATTTTCATTCTGTTTTCCTCCTCTTCCATAGTTCTACCTCCAAATCTAGAGCAATTCCAGAAAAATTTCCCAAGAGATTCCTCCAATGAAAACAAGACTATTTTCCTGGAAACACACTGAGCACTCAAAGGCTCATTTGGAGGAACATTAGTGGTAGCACCGCCTGGGATTACACTGGAGTCTTAAAAGACCCACAGCTTTACTTTCTCTGCCAATGTGAAATAGGGTGCACTGTCCAAAGAAAAGTGCTGCACCGAAGGACAAATTTGCGATACTCATACACACACGAGTAACACATGCACACAAAAGCACATTTTCTTTGCTGGCTTCTGTCATTGAGACTGTCTTACTGGATTTAATAATTGGACACACAAAAATCACAATCCTAAATAGCCATCTCATTTACTGACTACCTTTCAATTAACTTCATTTTTTGCCAGGCTTTGTCCCACAAACATTGTCAGTTTTCCCTTAAGAGTAGCCCTAGAAGCTTTCCTTCTTTCTAGCCTTCAAAGTCTCACATTTGTTATTCTTTCTTCTCCTTTTCGCAAAGTGCACTACCAATAAGTTACAAAAAGGCTAGAGACAGCTAGACCAGAGTATTATAGAAAGGATTCATGTAATTTTTCCACACATTTTAAAAATTCCACAGTTGCCCAAGACTAGTTAGCTGCTGAGCTGTGACCAGTGCTCTTCTACAAATAAAACAGACATCCAAAACACAGAAAGAATGCCTTATTTTTCACAGTGCATCTTATGTACCGTGGCGTTTTCCCTCTGAAAACATGAGAGTAAAAATTATTAGTGGGGCACTGAAGGGACATGCTCAGTTAGTTAACAAACAAGGCACATTTACTTTGTTAGGCCATGCCATACATGGATACCTGCTTCCCACATCTCCATAATCACAATGACAAGGAGCAGGACTTCTTCTGCTTGCTATGAAGCTTTCTGGATCACTGGAGATGATTTTCAGAATCTTGCTGCATAGATTCTGCCAATTTGTGTTCAGGCTCTTTTAAAGACTGGAACGAGTAGCCGAACAAGCACCTGGCATAGGAGGCAAGTCCAAGTACCCAGGCTGTACAGTACCTATGACAAAGGTACACGAAATCAGTAATTAAACTCCTTAAAATTTTCTGTTTTGCAAAAAAAATAAATTGAGTAACCGGCACTGCTGATATAATGGCAGCCAAAGGAGAGCTGGACTTGGTAAAAACTTGTCAGAGGTTTAGTCTTTGATCCTTTATTTAATCTTCTTGCTTATTCCATTTTGTCTACTCTCAAACAAAACAAGTTCTTGCGATGTACCAAAAAAAAACAAGAAAGAAAACATGTAGGAAATGTGCTCAACTACAGCCCAAAAGGAGCTCATGGACACCATGCAGCTGTCCAGATTGGATAAGGCACGTCCCATTCCCACCGACCCTTTTTATCCAGGGCAATGGGAGTACTGGGGAGTACCAGTAGCAGTGCTCTGCTCTCAGGTGCTGCTTTCCTCTGCCACCTCCTGTGTCACAGCCTTGTGACAGCACTTGCTTGTGCACAACTAATGGGCTGTGCACAAATATTACACATGTGCCGTGCAAATGTGCTACTCTAGTGTAGGTAGAGCACAGCTGTACTTCACCAGCTCAGTGCTTTGTATCTGTGGATGTACAACAAAAGAATGGTGTTTCCAGAATATAATGATTTTGAAAGTGCTGAACAGCTGTCCTGAGCGTGCCCTACATTAACAGGTATTGATGGGGGTATTGTGTATGAAACGACGGAGCTAATGAATGGACCATAAGCTCTTCTACAACAGGTAAGGGACGACAGGGTGTGGGTCCTACCTTGAGATCAAAAGAAGGTAAATGGCCCAGTTAGCAATAAAGGTTGACCATTTCAGTCCAAATAATTCAGTTTACAATACTGCAAATCTACTACCGCAGAATATAATATCATCATGACCGCATCTATCCTAACCCCCTGATGACCTCAGGGAATTTTCAAGAATATTACTTCTATTTTCTGTCCTTTCATCCCTAATATATACAGGCAGGCTTAGCTGTGACTGCAACAAGAGAAGCCATTATGTCTCAAGAAAAAAAAAGACCACTCCCATTATCTGAATGCCAAATTTCATATGTTCAGTTCACCAATATCCCACACTAGCCTTTCAGCCGAGCTACTAAATGAGATCAGATCTCTAAAGTTACTAGGACAGAAGCAACATTTTTGTCAACTACAGCATGAAAACATAGCAAGAAAAACACAGCTGACATGCTAAAATATGAAAAAGTGTCATTATATTTAAGGTGTTTCTAAGAAAGAATATTACATTTATTATCGTGAATAAATTTACAGATTTACCGTGCATCAGACGTTAGGCTTTATTTTTCTGTATAAAATAAATATAGCTGGAGTATAAGATTATGACTTCACTATTATTTTCTAAAACCATTTAATTTAAACAGGGATGCCTATTCACCTGATACCATAAAACTGAAAACCATCAAATTATTGTACAACACAAACACATTGTACATGGAGACAACATAGGTAGACTTTCTTGTGAAACTGCTGGGTTTTATCACTGTTTAATGATTTGTTGCACTATTTATAGGATAAACAATAAATCTAACATGATTCATCATATTAGCCAATAAATCATGAGACAAATCATTAGGCAGAGTGATAAAATCAAGTGTTTTAGAAATAAGTTAATCTATGATGCCAATGCCTAATCTAAACAGTTGCTTAAAACCCCTATTTACTAATCATTTTTACATAAAGAAAGACTGATGATTATGTAGATTAAATGTGCACTTATTCCTATAAGCAGTACATAATCACATGTTCTATGCTGGTCTGTTTAGAACAAAAAAAAAAAAGATTTAAAAAATCCACTGTGAAAAGAAGGAACAACATTTTGATTGTATTTGTATATTTACAAAGGGCTGTCTGCACCACTTTGGAATCTGCCTTAGATTTTGGTGAAGAAATAGTTAATTAAAAGCATGCTGCAAGGTTGCAGGACAGATATTATCTTCAGCTATGAATTCCATAATATCCTAATTAACAATTTCATTAAGATGTGATGGCTGGTTCTAATGCTTCTTCATTCTTCAGCCTGAATATAACCCTGTAGTCTTTCTCATTTGTGACAACTGTGTTTATAGCTTCTCTACCCATAGAGCTTCGTGGCACTTTGAATTATGCTCAAGAGTATATGGGCATCACGTCACATTTGTGTGCCTGATATCATACATGACTAGCTGCGCTCCAGCCAGGGTCCTTAATGTACATTCTACAGATGGACTACCCTCTGAATGCTTAGCCAGATATTAAGTTAAATCTTTTTGGAGTCAAGCTTGTTTCACATCAGTTATACAAACATATTGGTTCCTTTAAAAGGACAAATGCACTGAGAGTAAGACAGGGAATCTAGGTCGGAAATCTAGGAAAATCATTTTAAATTTTAGTTTAGCCTTTAAATTTGAAAATCTCTTCTTTGGGAATTATTGTTATCTGTGGAGGGTTTGTTTTCATTTACTTTATCCCAAAGAGAAGTAGCTGAGCAATATTTATCAAGAAGTAGGTAAGCAGCATGGTTGGCTTAACCATGAAAGAAACATAAACAGCAAGGCAACCTCCTTCCCTCTTGCTTTCTGTTTTGTATTAAAACGCAACAAACCTGACAAGATAGTGACAACACAACATGATATTTTCTAGTTCAGAATTTTTCCTCAAAAAGGAAAAAAAAAAAAATGTTAACATTTGTATGCCACTGCCTGTCTATCTATCTATCTATTTAACACATTGGGACTGTGTCATACATACTGTACCTTCTCGATAAGGCTAATCTTGAGAGCAAGGTATTTTCCTCTAACTGAAAGAATATGTTTGAGCAACAAAAGCATCTGTAATTAGGGCTGTGACCAACTGTTTACTTGTCACACAGAGTCGGGTGAACAAACCCCTCCAGCTCACAAAGTACATTGGGGAAGGGAAAAGGAGGGGCGAGCCTGGCGCTGGGAGGGGGGCTGTGTCAGAGAGGCTGAAGGGAGCAGAGGGGATTTTGTTGGGTTTGTTGTTTTCTTGCTTTTTATCTCAATCCATACAGCCTGTTTTGTAAAGGATGTCTGAGAGACGACTAGAGAAGTGATAGCAATTTGATGCTTTATGCAGTATAGGTGGGGACTATTTGTATCTTTCTTTGGTTTATAATGTGCAGACATCCCATACATATAAAATGTAATAACCAGGAGCACACTGGAATCATATGCCTGCAGTCCCTTGTTATTCTTTTAGAACCTGCTTATCTTTCGCTTCTCTTTTTCCCGATGACACTTAAGGTCACATTTTTAAAGGCACTTAGATGCCTCATTTTATTGAAATCAATGGGAGCTAGGTGCTTAAACATCTTTGAAGAACTAGCCCTTTAATGTTTATTAACAATACCTCAGATGAGGGTACATCCCAGAAAACATAATAATTGCCTTCCTTTATTAACTGTGGTGTGTCGAGATAAGATAGAATCAAGTCCTCAGACTCATCTCCTCGCAATGATTTCCTAAATGAGATCAGTTCCCACTTACATCCTGAATGACCAAGGGTGACTAAATCAGAGCAATGAAGTACATTTACGTCCTTGAAACTCAAATAATCTTGCAGACACTTCTCCTAGTGTTGCTGATTCAAATATTATCAAGTCTCAATATGTTTGGTGTTTTTCTTCAACATTCAGCTATAATCATTTCAACTACAAGAGAATATCTCCTTTTTCTCTTTAAGTAAAGCTTTTTTTTTTTTCCTTTGGGAGCTTAGACTCTCACATAGTAACTACAGAACTGCAGATAAAACAGGATTATTTCCTTGTATTTCTGTCCTCATGCTTTTATTCTTGTGGATTCACATATACCTTGTTCATCAATGCATGGCACAAAGCAGAAGCGCCTCCAAGTAAGCCACGAGGTGCAGAAAAATTAAAAGATCAGGAAAAAACCAATTCTAATAGCCTTTGAATGACTGGCAGGGACAAGTAAAGGAAGAGAAAGAGAGTGATTTTTTTCCTGACAGACCTTCAGCATCAAAGGAGACTCTTTTCACCCATTAGAATGAGCTTTGGATCAAACCCTACCATGAACCTCCTAAGGCTCAAGCCAGTATATCCCGGCATTTCCCCTTGCTCCTGAAAAGGCAGATTTCCATCAGTATTCACTGGTACCTTTTGCTTAACTAGGGACACTCTTTGTTACTGTGTTATTGGTGGCAACCTTTCTCCATTTTTGTCTCCTAGAAGCTTAGTAGTCACATATTCTCCTCTAGAAAATCTCTACCATAGAGTTTTAGGCACCTTGTCTATCAACCCAGAGGTGCATCCTTTCAAGAGAAAGATAGACTGGTGCCTCTAAAGCAATTCAAATTTATTTACTTATTGCTGCTGTGATTCAGTTTTTCACTGCTTCATTACTCAGTATTTCATTGCTTCATTTCATTCATTATTTTACTCTTCCATTTCTCTGAACATTTTTCTCCTCAGCTTCCCTTCATTTTTCCCATATTTCTCTTACTTCCATTCATTTCTCACCAACTCTCCCCACACGTCTCTCTCTTCCGTTCTCTTTCAGTTTTACTTTTCATTTTCTTTACTGCAAACTAGTTGATCAACAATAGGCACAGCAAGTGGCAATCACCACAGATAAGATAGATACCAAAATTTTAAGTCACTATGTCAAATCCACATTCAAATCCATTTGAAAATGTGATTGATGAGAAGCTGTGAGGGTTTCTATCCTCTCCTCAGGCATTTTCTCATTCTACTTTCTGCTGTCCCCATCCACTCTCTTCTCACAGGAAAGATGCCAGAGGGAACAAAAATTAACTGCCAGCAGCAAGTTACCCAGCTCCTCCAGTCTGACCAGACAGTTTTGTATTAGGTTCAGCAATGAGAGCTTAACCCAGAGCGTGTCTGCTCGTTCCCTCCTCTTCTTCCTCCCAAACTCAGCAGGTGCCCTATAGAAGAACC